AGCCGATCTGGCTGGTCCAGGTCAACCGAATCTGACTAGAGTGCGGGTAACTGGATGCTCCCGAGGTGGAACTAGGGCATGGGGATCATCAAAATGAAAAGACGATGAGCTATGAATATCTCCGTATACATACAAGAGAAACGATAGCCAAATCCTGCCCTGTTTCTTATTAGGGTATTATGAGAGGTGAATAAACCCCACCTAGAGTTGGACCAAGGAACGCTCGTAAATGCTTGTCTTTCTTTTCACTAACTCTTTGTCAGCTTCGCTTGTAAGTCATTATTAAAGTTACTTCATATTATTAGTATCAACCAAGTATGTAGTATGTAGTATGTAATATTAGGTATGTAGTTATTTTAATTAACTATATCAATATATCAATAGTATCTCACGCCATGGGAAAGGGAAAGGGAAAGGGAATAGCCAATGTATAGTGTACTATGTAATTCGTGTGTAATAGAAAATAGAAGCAACGGCAGCGAATAAAGCGAATAGATTCCACCCCCTTACCACGGGCCAACTTATTTAGGCTCACGATAGTTGAGATGAATGGTCTACAAAAACCGGGTTCGCAATATTAGGGATCAGACCAGGTGAGCCATCGCGACACCTACACAGGTAACTTCGGCGGGAAGGATTTGCACACTTAGAGTCGACCGGAGAGTCTTGGAAGTCAGCAGTTCCTCTAGTCCCTGTGCCGTAAGTCGAATAAGAGACGTTCAATGATAATGAGGTATTTCGTAGAGCTTGGCTCCGTCCTCTTTTTTTTTTCTCTTCCTTTCTCCACTGAGTCTTTTGGTATTAGCGGACTTATTGACGGGCTGACCAGCCAGGGACTGGAACTTTTCAGCAGGGTACCCATGGTCCACATCCCCCATGTCAGAAACGGACCGTATCGCCTTCTCATAGGGCAAACATGGGCCACTCTCTGCCACCGTTTCCGCTCGCGACGGATCGTCATAATGGACTCTTGCGATTTTATTTGACGGCCGCTAGCGAGCCAGATCTCTCAAAGCCTTGACAAGCTTCCTATGAGCCCCTCACTTATGGAATCTAGCTTAGAAACATATCCAGTAATCAACCGGGAGACGGGAGACGCGTATTCCTTTGATGACGGTTTCCCGGTTTTAATTCCTCCATTGCTATTCCTTCACTCTTTAGACCACTAGACCCTTCTTACTCGAGCTCACCTGGCGCTCCTCCGTCTAGTATATACCCATATAATACCATAAACAGTAGCGGTCGGCCCTTCGAAGGAGCGGCAACCGTGAGAACTTCGGCAAGGTATCTCGTTTGTATTTGCCAATTCGACCATAATCGGACCACATATGATGTACTAATGGGTACTATAGTAGCTATCTATGGTATAATGTAGAATGTATGATGACAAAGGAGGGGTATTAACATGTTTCGCTGTAGTTATTCTGTATCCTGTATCATATGTATTATATGTATTATACCTATACCTTAGGTTAGGTATGTATCATAGTATGTAGGTAGTCGCCGAGCCGAACGAAGGTCATCTTGCGACTCCTACTCCCCATACTACCTATACCATACATACCATACATAGGTAGGTAACCTACCCAAGATACCCGCCATACACTAGTGCGTAATTCCCATTATCTCCGTTTGTGAGACAACGTCGACCAGGTCAAATTGAGATGAGCAGCATACGGGGGGGTCCCTTGTCTTTCCATGTTTCCCATGTCTCCCACAAAGGCCGATTGCACGGGCTGCACGGGGGGACGCCCCCAAAGTCTATGAGTCTTCTCGACCCTGCTGCCCTGCTGCCCTGCTGCCCTGCTGCCCTGCTGCCCTGCTGCCCTGCTAGCGAGGTCAGGGACCTTTATTCCCTCCCCCAGTTTCCACACCTATATTTCCTCGGTTGACATCCGTTTCAATGCCAGAAGCGGAAGTGCTTGAGTTCACACAGAGGAAGATCATGGCAGGTCACAAGAGATCGATGTCATGCAAACCCGAGTTTAGATCTCATCTCTAAGCCTCAATGGTCTCATGCCACGTTTGACGTACAAAATACTCTTCTTGGAAGCTATTACACAATAGATGAATATAAAACACTACAACGTACGCGATCCGAGCATGAGATAACGCATTACTTCTGGCAAGCTCTCTAAATTGTTCTATAACCCCCATGGCAATTTGCTAGTAATGCGACAGGACACTTCAATCTTACGCAGTAGAGGTAGCCTGGAGGTAGCCTTCGTCTGGAAATGCTCGTCTAGAAATGCTCGTCTAGAAATGCTCCTAAATGCTCCTGTAGCACTTGTCGGGTGAGGGTTGTTCTATCAAGCTGTCGCGACAAGCAAGCTTGTGTCGCATCTAGACCCCAAACCGTCGGGAGCATATCTGGGACCAACATGAACCCCCCGATACTCATCGTTCGGTGAGGTTTCGTGTACACCCAACGACGTTGGTGAGTTTACCGCTACCTACCGCTACCGCTACCATAACTGAAGAAAAAAGGGAACCGCCGCGCATTTACACTTCCTTCGCCGCGGTAAACGTAGGTATTGTACATATGAATGTGTTCTTGTTCTTGTTCCTGTACCTGTACCTGTTTCCGTTCTTCAGCGGCTCGGCGTCAAGCTGCTGCTGTTACTCGTTACCAAACCAACAGAGTAAGTAAAAATTAACCTAAGCGTTGACCAATCCTCAATATTCCACCACTTTGGTTCTCTAAGCAAAGCAACCAACAGCACGTTGCGATGAACAGCCTGGAATTGCCATTGGACATAATTTCCGGGTCAGACGCGAGGCCTTCACCGAGGTCCGTTGGGCGATTGGGCATGAATGGTCAGGAGGTCCAAGCGAATACAGTACTCTTTTCCGTGCGCCGGGCTATCTTCCAGTTGGTCAGCTCTATCTATATCCTGGACTATCCATGCCTAACCTTCTGAGGAGGCTTGAATCCTAGAAAGTAAGGGCTTATTCGAGCTTAGCGTCTTTACGAAAAGCACATTTCGTTGCCACAAGGCCGAGATTTGTGTTACAGTACAAAGTCTGCGAGGCGTCTGTGCAGCTATTCTTTCGGCTTCATGCAAGGCTCAACACCCACCATGGGCCGTTGCAGTCGAAGAGTCGGTTACTCCCCCCATATATGCCATATACATACACTATGATTTCATACATACTATGTAGAGAGAATCCTTAAAAGGTCGCGAGATCATCCGCAGCCTAGGTACTGTCCCTGCGGCGCGTTGCCGACGATGCGGCTGTGGAGTACCTAGTAGAAGATACCTTAGATACCCTAGATACCCTGCGTGCTACTCAACGATCGAAGTAACGTCATGCCGCGATAGCTCTTGGTCGTAAAAGCAGCCATTGGTTAGGTACCATCTTACCCTTTTAGTCGACACGAACACCCAAGGAGCAAACCTCGGCGTTAGTAACTGTAGTGCAGCACCATATCCGACCTGAAGTAGTAGATCATAGACTATTCTGAAGTTTAAGGCTCTTCGCCGGTCGTAATTATGTTGGAGCCTCTAATTGGAGAATGAAGCATTGCTGAATATGCGACCAAATGCAATCTCATATTTGAAAGAAATGAACGCTACATCACCCTATAGTATCGCCATCATCAGACCGCGATACCTTTTTTTATTTTTTTTATTTTTTTTGAGACAGGCCCGCGGCTACATAAAACCATCCCGTATTGTTCGCCTTGCAGCCAGATATTTGGTGAATGGCCACAGGATGGTCAAGGCTACCACAGCTCAAAAAATGAGGCTGCTGGGCGATGGACAGCCCGGCATTTTGATAGGAAGTTACAGTAACAACCCCCAATGTGAGAGTGTGTGTACGGTAACATCTCAATCGCTTTAAGTTGCCTACGAATCGAAACATGGTGACAAGAACAAAAGAATGGCGCTATTTGTCATCAGGTCTATTACTATTCGGGACGTGTGGTTGTAAGTGTGTGGTGGCAAGGTTGTCTCGCATGGCCTCTCGCATGGCCTGCTCGGCCATGAGGTAGATGGATAATGAACCAAGAAAGAAAGGAAAAAACCGATAGTCTCAGGAAATAATAATAATAATAATTAAACAGCACGTTGAATGAAAGGGTTGGGTAAGGAGTGTGGCCTGCAGCTCCATACTGACCCCCAAAATCCAGACGATCGAGAACTTTCTCCACGAAGGGGCTGTCAGATGTGCCGTCGGCGGCTAGAGGAGCGCTGTGAAAGGTTGGAGTCAGGTACCAATTTGCCGTGTGGCCCTTTTAGGGAGTGGATAATCTCTATGCTAAGACGTTGAGTGGTTAAAAATATTCCGATCGTTTAAGGTGCAACAATAAGACAGGAAGGCCAAGACAGCGACCGGCAATAAATTGTTGGACTCATCATTATTGTGGCGCAAATAAACACCAAAGACATAAACTACTTCGTCGTTCAGCATATGCGTGTCAACTTGCTGCAAAGGGGTGGTGCCTTAACGGTCTCCAAGAGAGAGGTAAGGCACCGCTCATGCATCCCCACGCCTCGTCGGAGACATGGTCGCATTAAGAGAGGCCTTCGGTTATGCAGGTGGTGACGATTTGCAGCTTTGGGTCTCTGGAGCATGCGGAGTGCGCTCAGGCATTCTGAATTCAAAATGCGGCTTACTATGTATGTACGCATCGTGGGATTCCCCCGCAAAAGGGGAATATAATTGCAATCTCGAAATTGGAGCCCAGCTGTCTTCTCGTAGGTCTGGACCTGCGGATTCCCAGATCCTCGCATGCAAAATCGCCCACTACTGTATCATTCTTTGCATGATCGGGCCCTTCCAGAAAAAGCAAACAATACTTTCCCGTCAATGGTGCGCCGCATCGGCTGCGGCCTGTCCCTTGATCCGTAAATCTGCAGACAACCGTATCCCCTGTTCCTTGAAGCTGCCCAACAGCGTCATGAGATAAAGATGCTTTCTTGGTATCATTATCCATTGTGCTATATAGAAATCGAGAGCTCGGGAGTGCGCACACAAAGGGTGCCAACCTCGCCTCGACACTCGACACTTGACACCCTTCACCATCGCGTGTGGGCCGAGAGCGCATAGGGGACCTAGCCGCTCTTTTGAGTCTGGCCACTCATCTCTTGACGATCGTGACTAATGAGGGACGGGATTAGTATCCAAGATAGTGCAAGTGCAATGGGGAATTGGCGAGTAATAATACCTATATCTTCGTCGGCCAGCTCGTGAGCAAGCCCCACGCGTTGGGGTTGGTGCTTCACAGATTTTCCGTAGACTATTGCGGTTTTAAACTGCTCGACTATGCTCCGATGGATTGCGTTGCACTTATCATTCATTGGTCAGCCAGTTTGTTACCGGTCAAAGTTTACCGAGGCGAGGTACTTACAAAGTCCTCGACTGTGCACCTAGTGGAACGAAGCACAACAGGTGCTGAATAGTCCGGCATCTTTCCTTTTGGCTTCGTGTAAACCCGGACCAATTTTAGCTTGTCCCACCTGCAAGAAAAAGGAGATTAGCCATGTGTGCGCTACACGTCTACGCGTCTTCGTAAAGGGGTCGAATCTTACATGGCCTCCATCAACTCATCGACGTTCCACCCATGTTCAGAACTAATGGGTACCGCGTTGGGGATTCGATACAGCAGATCCAGCTCCTCGATGCTGATTGCGTCAATCTTGTTGAGGACGTAAATGACAGGTATGTAGCTACGACTCTTGGCTTCCAGGATGTCGATCAAATCATCAATCGTAGCATCACAGCGAATCGCAATATCTGCTGAGTTGATACGGTACTCGGACATGACGGCCCTGATTTCGTCATGGTCGATGTGGGTTAAGGGTAAGGTACTTGTAATGTTGAGCCCACCCTTGTCCTTCTTCTTGAAGGTGATGTTTGGCGGTTCCTTGTTAATACGAATACCGAATCCTTCTAGTTCCGTCTCGATAACTCGCTTGTCCGTCAGGGGCTTATTCACGTCTAGCACAATGAATATCAAATGGCAAGTCTTAGCGACAGCAATCACCTGACGACCACGACCTCTGCCATCCTTAGCTCCCTCAATAATACCAGGGAGATCGATCATCTGCAATGGAGCTCCTGTACAACATAGTATCAGTATCAGATACAAATACAATAAAGTCCGCCTAAAAGGGGAATATTATGGGGGGGTTCATTGATGCCATACCATTGTACATGACTTGTCCAGGTACGGATGTCAGGGTAGTGAATTCATACGCGGCAGCTTCGGAGTGTTGACCAGTCAACCTGGTCATCAAAGTACTTTTTCCCACGGACGGAAACCCAATAAATCCAACACTGGCAACACCAGTTCTGGCGACGTCGAAACCGGCACCACCGCCGCCACCACCACTCGATGAGGGAGTTAGGAGCTCTCGCTTCAGTTTGGCCAACTTTGCCTTTAGCTGACCCAAGTGAAACGAAGTTGCTTTGTTCTTTTGAGTTCGGGCCATCTATCAAATCAGAAAATTTAGCACACCCTATCTGGGCTCCGGGATGCCTATCCCACTTACTTCGGCCTCGATCTCTTTGATCTACAGGTTAGGTTAGCATCTAAGTCATTCATACACATTTACGCGAACTCACCTTTTCCACCGTAGTCGACATTTTGACGAGCCAAGTAGAATGCTAAGCAGTTATAAGCAGTTAATTGCACTACGTTAGTGAGGGCTACCGCTCTCGATTTCTTCTTAAAGGTAAGTTGTCACTTGAGAAATTCGATGCTCATTTTTGGTGGGGCGAATCGAAGAATGTAGAAGGCTTTTTGCCCTGTGATGTCAGGCCCCGCAATTCGCCGCGGTTTTCCCGATTACTAATATCTTTTAATCGCAACCCCTCGTTAACGGAGACCATGGATATAGGAATAAACACGAGCAGTTCTTGAGGCAACTTGGGATATCTAGGACACGTATCCAAGCAATGCCAACAAATAATGGTTCTAAATCATAATATTTCATAATAGTCTAAATTTCCATTACAATCAATATGTTTCATGACCAATACCTGAGCAAAAATTACCTCGAAATAGGCTAAGCAGCTATCTTTCAAGACATCATCAACCTAATAGCTGATGTTTATACAGTAACTATACTATTAATAAATCCCAGCCGGGTTAGATACATTTTCGTACATGATCATATAAGACATATAAGACATATAAGACATATAAGACATATGATAATATAAGTTGACGGTTGCGTGCCAGAAACGACAAGTTCTCAAAATTGAACGGAATACCTAGTTGAGCCTCACACGAAAGCGGGAAGTTTTCCCTTCCCGTCTCGAACATCGGCAACAATGTGATAGGGTATCCTAGACACAGATATTAGATACACGTGGAATCACCCCGTTTTCTCCCTGCGATCTACATTCAACAACTAGTAAATACGCCATCCCCCTTTATCCGTGAATATTGACCACGTGGCCCAAGATCGGACGGCACGCGGAAGATACGGAATCCGTAACGGGGGATGATCTAGCCCTTATATCAAGGTCAGAGCACGCGTGGAAGTAAGGGAGAAATATTAAAGTTCTCTAAAAACAAGCTATCATGCAAGGGGTGTCTAGCTGATGTCTCAAAAAGGAACCCGGGGACCACGTTCATCTACTAGGATGATCAAAAAGCACAACTACATATACTTATACAGAAATCCAGAATTAGCTAGAGCTAGGTATGCTCGACGAGAAATACAATTAAGAAGACTACGGGGTGTGAGAATATATGCACCCCATGCTAGCACCCTTAGACTACGGTCATTGTTGATTCTAGCACATGGAATCCATCTTAGTAAATAAGTACTTATCAAAAAGATCTACCCTTGACCCATGACTTCATATATAATATATCTAAACAGGCTTCGTGATTGCCGATTGGTTAATTGACTGTGATTTATAATTGAGTATACATTTTTCATGCAGGAATCTGTCCTAGGAGCTTACTCGCCTACATTATTTTCAGGAGGAAGACGTCTAAATCATAAACTGGCTTATGTGTCAATGTGATCATTTCGACCGTCAAGTCATAAGATGTACACAGACTAAACTGGGTATTTATTTTGCCACGAAGCCACCATGCAAGCTAAGGCCTGCCGGTATATCTGGAAGTTTAGACACTATTTGTCGCAACGGGACATAAGAGAGCCATTTGAACTACTTAAGCATATAATAAAGGTACCACCATAGCCAAATGAACATTAATCAGCAGCTACTTAGTCCTAAAAATTTATCGGTATCGTTTTGGGACGAATGTCTATCGCCTAACTAATAGCTATCGTGGGCGTTTGGTGATTTTCGTTCTCGCGATTATTGCTTCGAATGCTTGGCTACGCATGCCTGTAACGTGTTAAATGTTTTAGGTAAACCTAAAACGGTTATGATGAAATAATGGATACTATATGATATATTAATCCGGCTATTATAAAGCCCAGAAAGATTGTAGGCTCGGGACCATTACTATTCGCCTAGGAGGTTGTCAAGCCTATAGTGATAGTCTCAATAGAGATGTTTAGATCATTTATTCTTTTGAGAAGCAGAATGCGAGACTACGAATGGTCTTTGGCGCTGAGAAATATCTAAGAGAAAACGGAAGGACCCTTGATAAAATATACGCAGTCGGCAAATACGCCTGCTTATTTAGATGCGAACAACATGTTGCAGTATCTGAGTAATTTCAAGGATTCATTGACTTTAGCTGTCTCTTTTCTAAGTGGCTTTAGTGACCTGGTAAACTATCTACTCTTAGTTAACCCACCTAAACCCGCGAGTGGCAAGTCTAGAAAATAATACGGGTACGAACATGAAGACCGGGTACAGCCAAGCTGGGAGAGGCTATATTACGTTTACCGGTTAACACTCGGCCTAAACTTCCGTTTAGATTCTATTGTAACTTAGTAGCTTCCTATAATGATTCCTGTGAAACAAGACAGTGGTGATTTTGGATGTGAGCCTGGGGACTCGAATACTCGACCTTGTGAAAAACCTCCTAAGGGTCGGCTGTGGCGATGTAATTTTTGCGTTTATAAGACGACAGTGGGATATTTATGGGCACTTACTTCACACAGCGCCACCTAGGTAACCTATTTCTAGTAACGTATCTCACAATGGTCTCAAGAAGCTGCCTGGCGATAGATTCCCCTGAAATCTGAGCTATATACTGCCTAATCGCATATGCTACGATAAGCCCATATATGCACTAAAGCATATCCGTCGAAATTTATACCAAATTGGACTTGCAGATTAGGTAGCGGTTAGTTCATCTTCACATGCTTTTCCATTCGAAGTGTCAGTTCACACAAGAATATAAAGCTCCTTGGATCGATGATGGCAGTATCGGACTTAGTCAAGCACCTTGCCAGCATAAGTCCAGCTGCATATTGCCAAATCTTCTATGTCCTCGCGGCCGCAGCGGTGTTAGGTATCGCTGTGGCTCCTGAGTCCGTACGACGTCTCCTGACCCAATATGGGGCTCGATCTTCACCTACGGGCACATCGGACGACAAGGAGGGAAAGCAGGCTCGCGATGGACCTCTTGTTAGTATTGTTAGCTGGGCCACATCTGTGGGCAAAGTACCTCATTCATGGTTTATTCACTTCTATATTCTTTCTGTGTCCTGCTCCGTCTTCTGGGCTGTTCAATTCCTTAGCCATGGAAAGATACTCGAGTTTATAGTCAAGAACCAGGCTCCGAGCGAGACATCCTCGATGTCAATCAATCAAGTCGTTATCGTGTGGGCTTTGATGAGCTTGCAAGGTGCTAGGCGTCTCTACGAATATATGGCTGTTGTTCGCTCTTCGCCTTCTAAGATGTGGATTATCCATTGGCTGCTGGGTGTTGCTTATTATTTCTGCACGGGCATTTCTATTTGGATACATGGATCTCGTAGGTACTATTGCCATATTTTTTGTTTACAATCTTCTAAGTAATGATATAGGTTCGATTCAGTCTTCCGATAGAAGAACATTTAGTATCGAGATACCATCATTCAACATGGTCTTCGGGGTGATCACGTTCTGGGCCTCATGGTTCATGCAATACAGATGCCACAGCTATTTGTCTCAATTGAAGAAATATTCACTTCCGGTGGACGGCTTATTCCAGTACCTGGTGTGCCCGCATTATACGTGCGAGTGCGTATTATATCTTTCTCTAGCGTTGATAGCAGCACCCGTGGGTCAACTGTACAACAGGACGTTGATATGTGCTGTGCTATTTGTCGCAGTCAATCTTGGTGTTACTGCAAACGGAACCAAGAAGTGGTATAGTGAGAAATTCGGCCACGAAAGGGTCCGAGGGAAATGGAAAATGATACCAGGTATATTTTGAAACCGAACCCGTCTGGGCATATCAATTTTTCTGCAGAAATCCAAGCTTGCCTCCCAGCTTGGATACTTTCATCACGTCTCGATACGTTAGGCTGGTACGCGTCTTTCGTACGTTGCAACCATTTGCAAATTCTTCAGGTGACTGTAGGAGTTCCCAATTGGCAATCGTACTATTAGAGAGCTCAATATCTTCCGTGATATCTTCGATACCATGGAGAAAATCCGTGTAAAGATCGGAGGTAGTGATGAGTAGGCTTCGAGGCTCTTGCAATATTCTCCATGCTGGGTTGGGATCTAGGGCGCCGTCGTCCTTGGATTTGTAGATGTTGAGGCAGAGACTAGCACCGAGGCTCACAGTACACACGACAGGATGATACGCAGCCCCGTCCTGTTTTGGAATGAGCAGTTCATCATAGCCTTCTCTAATTATGCTACTCGCTTACCTTGTGAGGCATTATGCCGATGCCGGGAGGGTATTCTGAATACAAATTAATACTACATGTCATAGCATGGAATTTTGGATTTTAGACCCGTCATAAATTTCTTTTTTTCGGATCAATGGGCACAATAAGCAATAACGGAAAAGATAGTGTGATGCGACTTGAAGGATACACCGAACCTCATCGCACGCTCTTCTCTACACGTACCATTGATCAGAACATGGTTCGGTTTCTGGTGGGGACTATCAGAAAATATATCGGGCGAATCGGGTCCTCGTGAGAGTCGGGTCGATTTCAGACGCGGCACAATCGGATCACTCAACCAAGTTGGCAAGGGAGCATCCATCAACTTATTATTCACAAGATCGGACGGCCAGGTTTGCAGGCGGCGATGGGATAATTGCTTCCAACGTGGTTTCGGTGCGGATGCTATCTGTGTCATTGTCAGGCGAGGGGTACGGAACTCATCGTCTCCGTGACCATCACAACCGTACTTTGTCAAGAATCGCTTGCTCTTCCTCTTGTGTGATGAAATCCGAGATGTAGTAGGCGGCTTGTGGTAGACTTGTAACTCGGACGTCATCAAGAGAATCGGGAAGCCTAAGGTTAGCGGGGGTAGGATCCATAAATTCGTTGTTGGCCATAATGAATATCCACCAGGGGAATTCGGCAGACGTCGGATTAAAGATCTTGGATGTTCGTATTACTATCGAGAACGGGCGAATTGGGTGTTAGTGTATGGGTGCCTGAAGGCGTTATGGTTGGTGTGGAAACGCGGTTAGAATATTTTATCACGATATGCCTTTTGTAATGGTCGAATACGCAATCTGAATCTGATAGCACGTGGTACTAATCCACAGACCCATGCGAGGCTAGGTTTTGCGTATCAAAACGATTTCGAAATCGTTTGGGATAAATAAGGGCAGTTGATGGACCTTGGAAGCGGATCGGCACGGGATAGCTTATCGGTAAGGAGGTGGGTTGAACACTTCAAATAAAAAGGAGAGTGTGGTCAGATTCGATAGAATCTTGGATTGGAGAAGGAGATGTGCAGTTTATTAGCGATAATTAATAAACGAACCCTGCTAAGAGAGAATTTTCACAGAGTCGAAGGAAGGAAAAGCCTGGAAAGAACTGGGGAAATGAGGGGCGGAAACGAGCAGAGACAGGCAGTAAAAGCTGGCAAAGTAAGCAGGGGCTTGCCGCAGTCGGGGGGCAAGGAAGCAACTCTCAAGAGCAGCTCGAGCAACTCAGAGCTGTGCAAATTTGCGGAAATACCGGCCACCCGACCCATCCTTATTCAGGTCGGCAGCCAATTAAAAAAGGGCCCGGCTTGTTAGACTGATCTTGAAATTGATCTTCAATGGCTACACAAGAAAAACAGTCCTAGTGTCACCACACTAACAAAAGCCACTAGGCTACTTTTGTGCATAGCCTACCTCAAGTATTCCAGTACCCGTTCACTTTCCCTCTTGTCTCTCTGGCAGTCTGGCCTTCCTGCCAGTGTTCAGTTGTCGTTTCCTATCTCTATGCGCTTTGCCTACCACTTTGCCTGCCTTACCTATCCGCCTATCTGTTACTACCTACCTTGCCTACCTTGCCTACCTTGCCTACATGCTGCTACCTGCCTGCTACTCTATTATTATCTAGGAGGTAGTTAGTATTTCTCTCAGCTAGGTGCTTTTGGTTTGCTGCATCCTTTTCGTACTTTTCAATTTTGCAAATAATTTCCCTACACCGAAAATTATTCACATTCGATGACGGTCATTATCTGCGACAACTCGTGTTCATCAGCGATATTTTAGCAAGCTGCACATTTTTTCAATCCCATTTAGTACTCAGTTCTAGTCCAAGACCGTCTAAAGTCTTGTTTTCTATCAGTTCCTTAGCCGTTTGACCCACGACCGACCGTTTATGTTCGTACTCGTACCATTGTAGAGTAGTCCATATTCGTCAAGTTTGTACAGAGTCTCGACACGAATTCTGTCCCTATCGTCACCCACGAGTGGCCATCATGGTGTACTGTATTGTATTTCGGTATATGAATTGAATGCTATGGATGCGCAGAATGCTGTCGAGTCCGCAAACACGAAACAGGCTGCCTCGCCGAAGCGGGGATTTGCTGAGTCTGAAGATCCCAAGTCGACGGTGACAGCGAATAACGCCACAACCAATAACATTAAGCCTTCACTGACTGCAAAAACCCCTTCCACGTCTAAGGAGTTGCGACCCGTGCCGATATTACCAAGTGCGCAGGATGATGATGTTGGGCCTGATCAGAACTCGGACGCCGAGACAATCGTCCTGCCAGGCAAGGACGGTGTCTCTCCCTCGAAACCTCGAAAGGTAATAAAGCACGAAGATAGGAGCGATGGTGAGATTGATGATGTTTTACCGCCTCCGAGGAAGTATCTGAAGGATGGTAAAAACGGCGATCGCAATGGTGGCCCTTCCGATGATGTAGCCTTCCTAGAAAGAAAGAAGCGACTACCTGGAAAAGAGAAGCAACCGCGAAGTAAAGAAGTATCAAGTGGGCTTAGTTCTGCTCCTGCTTCTCCGCCTCCACACCGTCGCAATAACCACGAGCACATCCACCGGCGTCGCAGGTCCAGTGATGCACATTCGGAATCAGGCTCCGAATCATCCAAGACGAGACCTAACAAAGATACTATCAAACACAAGTCGAAATCCGTAGATAGGTTACTACCTGGCAAGCGCAAGGCACCCAAGGCAGAATCTGATGACGAAGGCGAGTCGCGGAAGGTTCGTCGACCGCGTATTTCAGACGCGGGCCTTGACAACCAAGCTGTTGCTAGGGAGAAGGACCAAAAACCCTCATCAGTCCGCCTTCCCCACGACAGACAATCCACTTCTCGAAACCGATCACTGTCACCTCATGGTCGCGTTCACCGACGTAGCCTTTCAACGCAACTTCCATCTCAGTCTTCGAATGGCTTTAGCACGAAGAAAAGGCGTATACCTGCACCCCTTCAATCTACCGATTATCACTCCGACGATTCATCTGCCAGCGGAAGCCCGCATCCTCGAAGTTCAAAATTAAGAAGTATAGCTACCCCCGTCACTGGTGAATCAACAATCTCGCCCGCAAGGATGCCAGCCCACAAGAAGCATGTTGATAATCATGGGCAGACCTTGCTCGCCAAGGCTTGTGCGAAAGGCGAATACGAAGCTGCTAAGAAGCGGTTGACCGAACGACCTGAAGATTTAAATTTTGCTGATTACGCTGGAAACACACCTCTGCAAGTTGCGTCACTCAATGGCCACGAACAAATTGTCCAACTTCTTATTGATGCGGGATGCAATCTGGACTGCCGAAATAGCGATAAGGAGACACCACTTCTCGATGCTGTAGAGAACGGCCATCTAGGTGTCGTGAAACTCTTGCTGAAGGCTGGTGTAAACCCCCGAAAGGCGGATGCTGAGGGACACGAACCGTTGGAGAAAGTACCCGACGAGCTAGAAAACGCTGAAGAAATTCGAGCTGCGTTGCGAGAGGCGAAGGAGAGGGTCGGCGAGCTGCGGCGAACTTCCGAAGACCACCCGCCTCACGATATGCCGGATACCCTTTCCTCCCACGGACCTGAAAGCCCCCGTCGTTCACCCGCGGCGTCGGGCAGCAGCACATTAGCGGCTCAACGCCGCGGCGGTGCCGTACGGTCGACGAAGACCAGCAATCATCTGTTGTATATGAATCTCGATGACAAGACTCTTCGACAAGCTGCGGCGCGAGGTGATAATGAGACGGTGACTCGTGTACTGCAAGTCAAGGAACGCTGTGATGACCCTGAGGCTCTGGTCAATGCAGCTCGCGGTGGCCATAGCTTTGTGGTCGAACTCCTGCTCGCCTTAGGAGGCGCGAACCCAGATCCGCTACGACCTGTTCCAGGCCTCCCGGCAGAACATGGGACGCCAATGTTAGCCGCTATTGGTGGAGAGAATATCGAGGTTATTAAGCTTTTACTCAACGCGTCTAATTTTGACCCGACTCGTCGTTATAAAGGTCAAACCTATTACGAAATAGCTAGACGTCGGGAGGGACCTATGTGGAAGGAGGAAGAGCATCTTCTAAAAAATGCTTACGACGAATTTAAGAAATCGCCTAAAGTTTCCTCCAAGACAAAGTCACCGGGTAGGCGAGACCGTGATCGCGAACTAGACCCAGAATCGAGACGTGCCAACCGCAATGAGTCGAACTTGGACGCTGTCCGATCGCATAAGCGTCGGCCATCTAGCCCCTCCCGAGACGTCGATTCTAAAAAGAAGGCCAGCTCTACTAAAGTTTCTGGAAGTCCTAAGGAGAAGAGGCGCTCGCTTTCTTTTGGTAATCATGACGAACAAACCTCGCCCAAGCGTGGGCCAGGACGCCCCAAGAAAGAAGAGCGGGTTTCAAGTATTGCCACATCCGACCGCGAGGTTTCTCCTGCTGTGTCTAAAACCCTTCCGTCGAAGTCAAAATTGGTAGACTCGGACCCCGCTATTAACTCTTCTGATACCGAAACTGCAAAGCCGCGGAGGAAGCTTATTTCAGGTAAAGAATTGAAAGGGCACAGGGAAAAGCAGCGACGCGCGAGCTTAGCGTCAAACAACTCAACTACTGAGCGTGGCGATCCGAGAAATGAAGATGTACTAGAAAAGCGACCAGATCGGCTCTCCGAGAAATACCATGATCGAACGAAGGCAATAAAGCGTGACGAGTCTAATGATAGGTTGTCTGTAGGGGAAGGTTCAGCTAAGAGGCCTCGATCTAGTGTTACGCCACCTCGGCATGGGCTTGCAGATAAAGACGATACCGACGCTCCAATTAAGAAAAGGAGATTGGACCCCGACAGCAAAGAAAGACGACCATTTCAAAACTCTTCCCCCGAAAGTCGACAGCAGAAACGAGACCCATCACGGGACCCCGTCAGGTCACAGCGACCCTCGGACGACCGCAAAGAAGTGCCAAAGGCCAAGAAGGCCAGTCGCGATCGTAGAGAGTTAGATAAAGCAAGCCCTCTAGAAAAGACTAGCATCACTGTAGCCTCCGACGACGTTGACGTGGATATGCGTGACGCACCCCAAACACACTCAGTTGAAGAGAGCGAAGCGCAGATCGACCGTGAGCGCAAAGAGGCAAAGAGAAAGCAAGCTGAAGCTGAAGCGATAGCCGCCGAGGAAGCGAAGAGAAAGGATATCGAACAAAAACGTCAAGAAGCAGAGAAGAAAAAACAGGAGGCAGAAGCACGACGACGGGAAGAAGTTGAAAAGAAGCGTCTTCAAGAAGAAGAGCGAATCCGCCTAGAGAAAGAAGAAAAGAGGCGAAAAGAAGAGGAGGAAAGGGTGCGACTAGAAGAGGAGCGAAAGGAGAAAGAGGAGCAGGAGAGAAAGCTACGAGAAGAAGAGGAGAGAAAACGAAAGGAGGAGGAAGAACGCAAGCGACAAGAGGAAGAAGCTAGAATCCGTCGCGAGAGGGAGGCCGCCGAAGAAGCTCAACGCTTGCGAGAGGAGGAAGAGCAAAAGGAACAAGAGCGCAAACGTGCGGAGCGAGCTGCACGTGAAGCCGAGATGCAGCGTGCTCGCCAGGAGGAGATGGAGAAGATCCGTCTATCCAAGTTGCCTCCTCTATTACGCTGGCTTGATGCCTGCCCAAACCCCAAGCAAAAGGATATAGCCGAGCTCTTCGCTATAGCGCGAGGGGTAAGGTATGATACGATTAACCCTTCCGCAACTGGTCACGCAAGCGGACGCGAGCAGTGGTTGCTTAACACCCAAGTTGCCCTACTTTTGGGCGAGAAAGATACCTCGCTGTCAAGATGTGAGTTACTAAACAAATATTTTTGACGTTGTGTTTAACTGATCGATCCTTAGATACTGCGTGGGAACGTATTCCAGTATCGCATATAGCAAAGAGAGTTATCTGGCGTCTGGAGCAGGATAGATATGCTCTAACAGAAGGCAAACTGTATCACTTGGGAGAACAATTACCCAATTTCTACGGAGGTAATCCTTGGTCAGTTGGCTATAGGAGACTCGAACAGATTCGTGGTGAGGCGTGGAAGTGTTTCTCCGAGACGGAGATGTTCTTTGTCAAAGTAAGTTTGTCACATATATATCAGCATGTTAACACTGTTGACTTGACACTAACGTGATCAAAAGCAATCCGACTTCCTCTATATCGTTCCTACCATACCTCACCTTCGTAACGTCAAACTATCGATCTGGTATTGCGAGCTCCCAGAGCATGAATCCGCCCTCTCAACTTGGAGTACCCCAGCCAAATGGAAGCAAGATCCGGATGCCGAAAGCCGTGGAGGGTTTGCACCCCAATCCAAGTATTATATCAACGGGGAATTGGTGGGCGAGAAGAAGCCACAGCCATACCAACCAAGCAAAACCCCATTTCCAGACCACCGAGTCCCAAGAAGGGGCGGGCTTGTTGCAGTCACGCCGGATGAGCCTGACTATGCGCGCATCTGCATTGAGCAGGGTCTAACACACCTCCTTACGGATCAACAAAAACAAGCTGTGCTGAACGGGGCACATTTGACCCCTCGGAGCATGGTGTCGAACGAGGCTCTAGACTACGTCGGCGAGAATTTGTCCCCTTCGACCGAATTACCGAGTACTAGACTAGTCAACGGCATCAAGAGCGCCCACGAGTCCCCGGACAAGCTTCCTGTTAATGGCACCAGTGGAGACGACTCGGGGAGCCAACGACGGGGTAGTTAAATTGGACTATTTTAACAGCGCAATACGCATATCCTACACACCCTTCACCCTGGTAGCGTTTTCTTGTCCCTGTACGATATCGAAGTGGCGGTTTATGCGACTTCCAAACTATTCATACCCAAGGGAATCTCATTCCCGTGGTAGTGGGCTTTTTTATTTGTTGTCACAAATGTGACGAGGACGGCTCGAAAAAAACAAAACAGGCGAATACTCACGTATATGATCACCTGACTTCATGGGCGGAGTTTGAGGCTCTTGAATTGGCTGGCAAAGCGTGTAAAAGCTTTCCACCTTGGATCCCAGCTCCGAGGATTTGCTCTTCCATATGATGTCGGCGTACACGTTCTTGTTTGCGATGCCAAGGCTAGAAAGGGGTGGGGTTGAGAATTGGCGGTTGAGATGCGGATTACGATTAGATACACCCAATGCAGTATATACATTCTTATGATTGAAGGCACTCGACGGTGTTATTACGATAGGCTTTGATGGAAATGAGGTAGCTTCGGATGGTTCCATGGCGTGATTGAGATGGGGTGTGTTAAACCTCGCTCGGGCAGTGAGTGAGCTTGGTTTTGTTGCCAAATGAAATTACCATCAGCCAAGAGCTTTACTTTAGGTAAGCTCAAAGGGTCTGATGTTAAAATATTAAAATCTTAGCTGAGGCAGCATGCTCGAAACAACGAGCCTATTAAATAGAATCGTTGCTTTCATTTCGATAGGCCTCGGATATGGTCGTAATAAACCATGTCCAAGCTACTATAATTCCCAGCGAAGCCACATGAAGACGTCACCGTATCGCACTAATACGATGGACGTTGGATAGGAATCTGACCTTGGCATTTATTATATGGGGCAGATGGCACTCCCTACTGAGCCATGCATTTATGAATACCTAGGTATTCTGAAGGCTTACGTACCGTTTCTCTTTGAAAGACATGTGGCTTGTGTAACACAAATCGATCCCATCGATCCCATCGACGACTCAAGACATGTAACACATGTGGCGCTGTCATGTTTGTTTCTTACATTTGTGACCTACCTGTATTTTCACCTTCATAAATCGACTTACTCTCTTATTCTCACTCTCGTCTAAAGTCCTCCCGCTCTTCTCGTTCCGGGTGTACGTAACGTACGGGGCTACGCTTGCCGATATGCGTGATTCGGATTTGGTCCGCTTCGATATCTATTTCTAGCCCGGTGCTGTACCGGCTGATATCGTACGCCACTACCGCGCTGAGAATAGAGCGCTGGGTAGTTATGCTACCGATTCGAATGTTTTCCGTGGCACGGTTACGATACTTATCAATGAGAAATGGGAATCAGACGGCGTAGAGCTGCTCTTTTTCGACCCTCCGCCCAGTTTGCTTGAATTAGAGGATAAGGATAGGAAGGGGATTTTTGGAGATGATCTGACTAATGATGGGATGTTGGTGGTCCGCGACGTTGCTCTTCGAGGCCCGGCTGGGTTGAGCATAAAGCTACGAACGCTGGCTGAGAATACACGCGATTGGAGTGGTCTCGATGAGCAATGTAGAGACGCCGTTGGCGAGGGAAAGACTACGTGGTAGTCTTACAAGACTATATTTGGTCAAGCCACAAATATGACGGGAGTTCTTGCGTAAAACGAAACATGCTTCGGTAAATCAGCCATTTAGTGCGCTAGCAAATCCGGTGCACAAAAACATTAGCTGAGCTGTGAGGGCATTGCACACTATCGTGTTGAGCCTCGATCCAATGATTCGGGAAGAAAAAGAAAAGCCAGTTTCTTATTTTAGGAGACTAGATCGATTAGCGAATAGCGGTGGATTCTTTATGTCGGATGGGTGCCGGCATTACAATAGTGTATTGTATGTATGTATTATACCATGTACACAAAGAAATATAAAAGGGGCTAAGACGTCGAGGGGATAATTAATTATGTTTTGTGCTAGGGAACTTAGGGAACTTGGTGGCATAACAAAAGTCCGCGTCGTAGAATGGACGAATAGAAATACCTTGTTGCTGAGGACCTGGCAGTCTGGGTAACTAGGACAAGGGTCTGAAGCTGGATATTGGGCTGATCAACATAGCCTCCCTTGTCGAGCTATGTATGGAACTGGATACTTGTAACACGACCTCTGCCGTGTAGGCTTTGGCAGCCCGTAACTGGCCGTAGACGTAGTTAACTAAAGATAGTCATGATGGGCGTTGTGTAATACGGGGCGCTGTTTCGTCCATGCACGATATCCTCTCTTATTGGACGCGACAGCTGTATGGACAGGCCTTTAAGGCTGAAGGAAAAGTAAATTACCGGTGTTGCTGTTCCTCGGTGACGGGTCTTCTCCGTGTTCACTGATTCATTCAGGCACCGTTTTTTTTCTCGTTTCTCTATTTTTTTCTATTTCCAATCTTTCCCCATCCTGTAGCGTCCGGCCAACCCCTCCTAAGCGGTCCTCACCGCTGAGCGTTGCGAACGCGACTAGTTAATTAGAGGTCCTGGATTGACTCGTCGAGGTGGTAAATGACTCCCACTCCTGGGTTGAGAGGAGTATCCACCACACCACACCAGACCACACTACACTACACCATACCTAAATAGCAATAGCAAGCAGCCAGCCGGTCAGGATGAGGTGGTTCCTGACGCTGCCGGCCTCTCTGCTGCTCAGCATCGCGCTGCAAACCCAAGTCGTATTAGCGATCGATAACGACTTCTCGGCGTACCCCGAGGGCTCGCAGCAATGCCTAAACGACGCGGCCGACCAGAGCAAATGCTCGGGCAACACGGGCAACGAAATGAACATGTGTCTGTGTTCCAATAAGGGAAACTTCATCTACAATACCGCCGAGTGCGTCGCCAAGCAGAGCCCCGCCGATCTCAACGCCGTCTACGATACCATGGAGAACAACTGCGCCGGCACGGGCGTCACCATCGCCGTCTCCAAGCAGGCCTTCCTCTCGCAAGCCGCCGCCGCCACCGCAACGACGTCTTCCGCCACGCCAACATCCACCTCGCCAACTTCCACATCAGATTCTCCCACAGCATCACCTACTACAACATCACCTACAGCATCACCCACAACCTCCGACTCCCCCTCCGGAACCAGCACCCTCTCCTCAGGCGCCAAGATCGGATTAGGCGTAGGCATCGGCTTCGGCAGCGTAGCGCTCGGTCTACTAGGCTGGTTCGTATTCGCGTACTCGCGCCGCCGCCGGGCACACCACCCGCCCACCGACGCGGAGCTCTCGCCCAACGCAGCCTCCACCCCCCTGCACAACGGCAGCAGCAGCGCGTACCAGCCGTCGCCCCTTACGCCGGCGCCCGAGTACGCGCAGCACAACGCGCAGTTCGGCGGCGTCGCGGAATTAAGTCCCGCGACTGTGCATAGCGGGTGGAAGGAATTGCCCGCGGATTACTACGGCGGCGGCGGCGGGGATAAGAAAGACGGTGGTGGTGGTGGTGGTGGTGGTGGTGGTAAGAGTGACGGGGGATACAATTACAAGGGCTCGTCCGGCGTGCCGCTTCTCGCGGAACTAGACGACGGACGCGCGAACTCGCCGGCGCCGGTCGAGTTGCCGGGGAGCGAGGTGTACAACGATACTAGCAGCGTGCATACGCCGGCGCATAGTGCGCAGGGCCCGGAGAGCGGATATCGGGATCAGGAGCTAGGGAACGGGCATGGAGCAGGATGATGAGATAAGATGAGATGAGATGAGATGTGATGGGGTGTGGACGTGATAAGTTAAGAGAAGAAGAGGAAAAAGAAGAAGAACGTTCCGATACCGAATACCGAATATTAATGCGCATATTGAGTTACAATTCATTCCGACGTACAGAATTCCAACGCGCTAAGATGACTAATACATCTAATACATATTACATATTACATATATACCTACGATATAAGCATATAAACTTACTTACATATTTATTATTTATATAAGGTATTAACGTAATGATATTATTAAAAACGAGGTTAGCGATAATAATTAATTACAATTATAATTATAATTAATTATAATTATTTAATTTAATTTAACGTATTAAATGCGTAAAACATAACACGGTAGTAAAATTACGATTTAAAAAAAATTATTATATTATAACATTTTTATAACATAACATAAAAGCGGCGTCCCGGAATTTAAACGATAATACGTGTTAATAAAAAAAAAAAAAAAAAAAACATGTACATATAAATATTTTTATTTTAAGTGACCTTAAACCAAAATTTCGATTTTTTTAGTTCGGGGGGATGTACCCCCCACAGCCACACCACTCCCTAACCAATCATAACCCGTACAACCCCTTTAAAAAAAAATCGAAACTTTAGTCTAAGGTCACCCTGGACACGTGCCTCCCAAAAAATCGTTTTGCAAAAAACAACATTAACATCATTTAATCAATAAAATCATCAAAAAAATAACAGCGCCAACGCATTTTTACAATAAATATTAATTGATTATACAATCGTATTAACCTCATTATTAAATCTATCGATTTAATCCACATATTTTAAGTCTTTTAAGGTGTTAAAAGTGGCTACAACGGTCGCAACGCGTTGGCTGCAACACCGGTCGCAACACCAATCGATCGCAACGGTAGCCGCAATACACAACACGCAACAAGGCTGTACGGGTATAAAAAAGGCAGGAAAATTTAGGCAAGCAATAGTATTATTACTTCCGAGTATAAAATAGACTATTTTATACGTGGTTATGGATGTTGTTACAAGCGTTGTTATAAGTGATTATCGGTGCAATATTTCAATATATTTTTAAACGTTAAGGCTTACGATATCACAACGCAATGCCGTATAAGTATATAAAAAAGCGGGAAGGTTTAAGCTATTATGTTAGAGTTAGAATATAATGCGTTTTATTTTATTTATACGTATTGTTAATTGTATTATGTTAATTGTAATAATTGATAATATTACCACCGCAAGTTAGTTTTAACGTTTAAAGCCATAATATAAAAACGTAACGTTGTATAAATATGTAAAAAGTTTAAGCAAATAAATGCAATATATTATTAACCCCGAGTCATTTAAGTTAAAGTTATTTTATACGTTATTATATTGTATTAAATTATTGTAAATATAATATTTAAATTTTATTATTAAAATCTCCACCGTAATAAACGCTCGGGCTTAAACTAACTTTAAACCACGTTTCGTAAAATAACATGCCCGTGACCCACAAGTACAAACACACGGGCCATGCGTTTTCAAGGCGCTTGTAACGCCGGTGCAAGCGCAACCCGCGCTTTTACGAAATGTGGTTTAAATTTACTAAGATAAAAATATTTAACGTATATATTGTTATTTAATTTGCATTTATCTCATTTATAACGTTTAAATACGGTGCGGCTTATGTTATTTAACCACTTTTATTTTTATTGTAATATATAATAAAAAATTTATATATATTTATTATAACGGTAAAAAGTGGTTTTAAAAAACGGTTTTTTAACGAAATACCGTATTTTTTATATGTATTATTTATTAAAAAAGTAACGTTATTTTTTAAGTAATCGTTATTTAAACAATTACCGTTTTTCTTTTAAAAATCGTTTTTTTTTTAAAAATCATTTTTTTTTTAAAAATTATTTTTTTTATAAAAATTATTTTTTATTAAAAACTATTGTTATAATAAAAATTAAATTTATTAAAAAAATTATTTTAATTATATAAATTATTATTAAAATATTATAAACCTTTAATTTATTTTTATTAATATTATAATTAATAAATTTTTTATTTTATATAAATTATATTTAAATTATTAATTAAAATTAAATATAATTTAATTA